AGCGCTACCGACGGCGCGCGCCCGGAAGCGCGCGAAGCCAGATGTGGCCGACGCCAACGCGCTGGCCAAGCGGTCCTACTACCTGCCACGCGAGCCAGTCGAAGCGCACCTCTTGAACAAGAAGGAGAAGGCGTCGCTGGCCGCCAAGCTCGTCGCAAGCAGCGATATACCGGTGCCCGCCGCCATGGCCAAAGCGCTAGACGACGACCCGTGCCACGACCTGCAGCACATGCGCGCCTGCATGGAGCAGCTCAAGGCCATCACCACGATCCTCGAGTCGTCTTCGGTCGGGCCGCGCTCCAACAAGCTCTCGCATTACGACTTGTTGCGGTACATGTCGATTCTGGCCTACTTGACGTACCTTACCGACGTGAACAACTCGTTTCGGGGCGTCGAGATCAAGCGCATGGCCAAGTCAGAAGAGATCGCACGGCTTTTCTTCCCAACCAAGCCGGTAGGGTACCGCGGCAAGCTCATTCGGCAGTGGACTGAGATGTACCTCAAAGACCAGAGCCTCCCCAACACGGCGCGCGGCAAGCATCCCAAGATCAAGAGGCCCTCGGACGATACCGACGTCGAGCAGCAGCGTAGTACGATACCAGCAGAAGCATTGGAAGCCGTGTCGCCGGGCATAACTATCTAGTGTCATTGGTACGGAAAGGAGTAACTTTTAATTATGTGGCGTGCGTACATGGAGCTTCTTGCAGCAAGAGTCTGCTGCGGTCACCAGAGCACGCAGTGATGAGAGCGTCCGATGCTCCCGCGACCGTATTGTACCACCTAGAACGAGCCCTCCAAGCCATGTCGAGCTGTCAAACGACGCAAGTGGCCCAGCGTGTGGCCACCCATGACGACGACCCATGACGACGAGCGGTAGAACGAGGCGAGTGGGACCCTCGTGGCCCCGATTTCGTGCTGCGTCGTACATACTGGAGCGCATAAAAGCCAGGGTGAAGAAGCTCTCAGTTGCAATCTTGTGGGCTAGCTAACGTCCTCGCAAGTATGGTGGCACAACCAACTCCACAACCGTCGTTGATGCTCACATGTCGTGTCCACTTGAAAGAAGGCAACCGCACCATCATCGAATGCAGGTGCACGCACGATTGCGCGGCTCCGAGCAGTACGAACCCACGCGCCAGGAGCAATTGGCAGTGGTGACCTTGGTCCGCTGGTATGGGGAGGAGATGGCACGCGTCTCGTGTTGGCACAGAACGCACCATGTCTCCAGGAGCAGCTCTCCCAGGGCTCTTGCTGTCAAGAACGCAGCGTTGGATTGCACCCAACGGTGCCAGTCGGGTGGCATGTGTGCAGATGTGGAGATGCCTTCAACGCATTCACCTTCTCACAGTGCGCCGTTAATCGACTTTTCGATGCGGCTTGCCCCGTCTCCGTCGTCGTCGTACACATACCAAAGTACACGAAGAGCGAGTAGCTTGGGCCAACGGCCCATTCGTCGAGTCGCAGCTACTACATGGCGCGTCTACTATATCCTTGAGGAACACACGTGAAGTCCAGACGCGTTCGCTCGGTGAGCAAGCAGGCTGCGCTGTTGTCGTCGGTCGCCATCACCATGTACTTGCACGTGCTTCCGGTGAGAGCACCTGCATGGCACTTGTACAAGCGGTGGCGTCGTGACCAAATTGACCTTGGACCCACGTTGGCATCCAGAATCTGGTCCACGGACACCCAAGGACTCCTCGCGGCGGCACCAGCCGGTGCTTTGCTGGCGTTGCAGAATCTGCCTCGTGGCGCATCTCATCCATGTGTGAGCACAGCCAGTCGATAAGTGCAATCTCAGAAGGCAAAGTCCACGTATGAACGAGCGCGATGCAGTCGAAAGGCGCGACGGCCACGAGGCGGGCGGCGAGTCCAAGGCTGTCCCATGCCATCCTTCGCGGCAGCATATGTCCTTGAACTGCAAGTCGGGCCACCTGGCACGCCATCACGCTGTGGGTTATTTAGCGAATCGTATCGGCGGAGCCCGGCCCAACTTCAACCGACACATCCCTTTCTACACCCCGTAAGTTCGTTTTCATTCCTTAAGTACGTGACAGGCTGTCGTACTTTGTAGAATACCCTTGTATGTATATGCACCCTCGTAAGTGCGGCGTACTTTGCCGTTGACAACCGCCACCGAGGCTGGGGTTGGGCCAGGGCAAGCAAGATTCACTTCCCATTCTCGCGTCGAAGCTCCACCACCCCACCATGCTGTCCCGCATCTCGACGTTCGCCGCCAAGAAGCAGGCCCGCTCCTTCGCGGCCAAGGCCAGCGCCTTCAACTACCAGGACCCGCTGAACCTCGACAGCTGCCTCACGGACGAGGAGCGCCTCATTCGCGTACGTCTCCTTGATGGCCATGGACAATCCATTCTGAGATGTATGCATTAGGACTCGGCCAACGCCTACTGCCAGCAGGAGCTCATGCCCCGCATCGTCAAGGCCAACCGCGACGGCACGTTTGACAAGAAGATCATGAAGGAAATGGGCGAGCTCGGTCTCCTCGGCCCGACGATCAAGGGCTACGACTGCGCCGGCGTCGGCTACGTGTCGTACGGCCTCATCGCGAACGCAGTCGAGCGCGTCGACTCGGCGTACCGCTCGGCCATGAGCGTGCAGTCGTCGCTCGTCATGTGGCCCATCTACAAGTTTGGTTCGGAGGAGCAGAAGAAGAAGTACCTTCCGCAGTTGGCGGCCGGTGACCTCATTGGCTGCTTTGGCCTCACGGAGCCCAACCACGGGTCGGACCCGAGCTCGATGGAGACGCGCGCGCGCCTCGACGGTGACCACTACATCCTGAACGGTGCCAAGAACTGGATCACCAACTCGCCGATCGCGGACGTCATGGTCATCTGGGCCAAGGACGACCACGGTGACATCCGCGGCTTCATCGTCGACCGCGTACGTGGAGTACTCTGCTTCTGAGCACATGAGGCTCATGGCTCGTGTAGGACACGCCCGGTATCTCGACCCCGTACATTGAGGGCAAGGCCACGCTCCTCGCCTCGGCCACGGGCATGGTATGTCATTCTGCCTCGGCACAGATCTTATCGCGATGGCCCTAGATTTTCTTGGAGGACGTCAAGATCCCCAAGGCCAATATGCTCCCGCACGTCAAGGGCCTCAAGGGTCCGTTCACGTGCCTCAACAGCGCGCGCTACGGCATTGCCTGGGGCTCGCTCGGTGCGGCCACGTCGTGCTATGAGATCGCGCGCCAGTACACGCTCGACCGCAGCCAGTTTGGTGCGCCGCTCGCGGCCAACCAGCTGATCCAGAAGAAGCTCGCGGACATGCTCACGGAGATCAACCTCGGCCTCTTTGCGTGCCTGCAGGTCGGCCGCCTCCAGGACGCGGGTCCGGTCTCGCCCGAGATCATCTCAATCGTCAAGCGCAACTCGTGCGGCAAGTCACTCGACATTGCCCGCACGGCGCGCGATATGCTCGGCGGCAACGGCGTCTCGGACGAGTACCACGTCGTCCGCCACTCGATGAACCTCGAGGCCGTCAACACGTACGAAGGCACGCACGATGTGCACGCGCTCATCCTTGGCCGCGCCATCACGGGCATCCCGGCTTTTGTCCCGCGCATGTCCCCTTAAACACCCTCGCTGCGAGATAGAATATAACAACTGCGTCCTAATACACTTCATGTCGCTGTGTACCTCAGAACTCGCCCTCGCGGCGTCTTGAGCCACACCATGCAACTAATCGTATGCGTGCGCTATATTTTGAACTCACGAGCCTGAAACGAGACGTCTTCACGTCCATTGCAGCGTCGCGACGAGCGCCATGTGATCGGACGGGTAGCGGTGCGACGGAAGACGGCACGCATCAATGGACGCGGGCATCTCCGCGATCGCTGTGACGGCAAGTGACGAGCTCGTATAGAAAATATAGTCGATCGTGTGTTTGGCTTCCTTGCCCGGACGCACCTTCCACGTCGTGTACCTAGTCCATGGCATCACATTACATTGCTCTCCACAGCTCGCGTACGCTGGTTCACGGCCCTCTTGGCAGTAAGCGCTGGCATACCCGTGGTCCTTGACCATTGTCGCATAGGTTGTCGCTGGCATCGCGGGCGTCGGATGCGGCACTGCGTTAAAGTCGCCGCACACGACAATCGCATGGCCAGCGCCCTGCTTGGCACTGAGAGCACGGCAAAGCATGGCAGCTTCTTGGGTCCGAATCGCTTCACCTGCCGCGTCCTTGGCGGCCTTGAGGTGCGTGCAGGCAACGAGCACCTCGTGCGGCGAGTCGCGAAGCGCGAGCTCGACGAGGAGCGCGACTTGATTTTGTGGCTGGAGGGTCGTCGTATCCGGCGGTACGTAGCACGCATACGAGAGCACGTCGTGGCGCAGGACGCGAAAGCGAGCGTTGACAAACACGGCGCAGCCGTCGCGCTGGTCGCTGACTTGCAAACATGGCGAGTCGGGCTTGGGCGCAAAGAGGCCCGTGTAGCCATGCGCGGCGAGCTGCGGCTCGAACCAATCGTGAAAGTGGTCGACTTCTTCCAAGCACACAATGTCGGGAGCAAAGCGCAGAATCTCATCGAGAAGACTACACCAATGAGAGTTGCGGGCTTGAGGAGAAAGGACGTACGGCTGCCGGCGATGGGCCCACGCCAAGGACCCCGGCGGTGCGAGCGTAAAGCCACCGTGGTCGTCGCGGAGGCCGCTCAACCCATCGGCGAGCACGTTGAACTGGAGGATGGTGAACGATGGTGTGTCCGAGGCTGCGGCCAGCGATCGAAGGCTACGCGGGTACAGCCCGGTCATGACGAAACTGCAATATCACGTTTGCAGGGTTTCGGAAGATTGGGATATGCTTTATCACGGGTTTCTTCTCGAACCACTTCATCATGGGAAAATGTCAAAACTGGGTGGACGAGGGCGTCAATTTGACCAAAACTGGGTAAATTGCATGAAAGTCATGAACTTGGTGTTACTATTCTGTGGCACTTGTAGCCGTTGGCATCTTCACATACCGGTACCTCTCCTCCTACGCACTCTTATCCGCAAACAAGACCTGTACAACAACCCTTTAACTTTCCTGATAACTTAACACCTGACATCACCACCTCCCCTTCCCTGCAACTACCAAGCCCAAATACCTCGCCGGAAACTTTAGTGAACAGTTTCCAAATTCCTGTTTTGACGCAGCTTTTCCCAACTTTCCCAACCAGTATCGTCGTTTCATCATCTGGTTCGTCAACGCCATCCTCTGCCGCGGTGCTGGCCACGATGACTAACGACGATGTGCGCATACGGACTTCTGGAGGCTTGGTCACAGGCTTCTGTATTGAACTAATAGCCCAGCGGTCTTATCATGCCCGTGCTTGGAGGCGCATCTTGTTGCGGACTTTATAATAGTGAGCCGCTCATTCTACCCATGTGCCCTCGTCGAACACACTGGACGTTGGCGGCATAGCAGCCACTGCCGTCGGGTCGCGACAGCTGTTTGCATCGGGCCGCATATTCAGTGCCCCAGCTTCCTCTGGCGTAAGCCGCTACATTTCCACAGTCGTTCAAATCCACCGTCATCGAAACAAACTACATAGGATAGATCATGAAACGCTCAAGCGTTTCATGCTGCCGCGCGCATGTCATTAGCGTAATTGAAATGACATGGGCGTAACTAGATGCTAGTCGACGCGTCGCGTCCGCAAGCAAAGCGCTACAGTTGTGAAATCTTTCAACAAAAGAGCCTGCGGGCTTGTGCGTCGGTGTGCTACGGATGGGACACCACGCTGGCATCTGCTGCGACAGTCAGCACCCGCTGTGACCCGCTGTGAGCGCTGTCCGTACGTTCAGCGCCTCTCACGCTCGATAAAACACTGGGAAGAGCATGAACCTGCCGCAGAATATAGGACAGAAAGCGCATTGGCTGGAATCGACGGTACTTGGTGTTTGCCGTGTCATGCATTCTTGACGTTGTGGGTTCGTACGATCGCCTGCAGAAGTACACCTTGCGCACCACATCCTTGCGCAATGGCAATTGACAACCATCTGCTGCCGTCAGATGGCTCGTCGCTGGCAGCGATCGTGGCCGCCGTTTTTGGTGTTGTTGAGTACTATTCACTTTTCAAAATGCGCCCTGGTCTCTTTGCCCCCGCTCTTGCGCTCGCCGCCGCGACGTCGCCCAACGAGTGGCACCCGTGCCCACTCTACTCGGACGTGGGCACCGCGGCCGAGCACAAGCAGTACGAAGCGTCGTACAACTTTACGGCCGAGTGCATTGAGCTGTCGGCCCCGGTCTGCTACCCCGGCGTGTGCGAAGGCTCCAAGACGCTGACGCTCTTTCTCAAGCGCATTCCCGCCACGCACCCGACGACGCCGGCCAAGGCCGTGTGGCTCATGCAAGGCGGTCCTGGTGCAGCGTCCGATGCGAGTAGGTTTTTTGCATATTTCTGCGAGTTCACACTCGCGACTACTCTAGTGGAGCCGTCCATGGCGCAGATCTATGAAGCCGCCAACGGCACCATTAGCCTGTACACGATGGACCACCGCGGCGTCGGGCGCAGCTCGCCCTTGTCGGCCATCTGCCCTGATGTGGCAACGGCCGAGATCGAGACGCTTGACGTGGCGCACACCAAGTGCTTCAAGAAGCTCAAGGCCAAGTACGGTACGACCACCACGACATATCCATGCGAATATGATGGGACTTATCCCTCTATAGGGCCCAACGCTGCCAAGGGCTTCTCGGTCACAAGCGCGGCCACGGACCTTGCGACAATCATCCAGAGCCCACTCCTCGCGGCCTCGGACGTCTTCGTCTACGGCGTGAGCTACGGCACGTACCTCACCGAGCGCCTCATGCACCTCGCGCCCAAAAACGTCAAGGGCTACATCCTCGACAGTATGCTGGCCGAGAGCCCGTTGAGCACGTACAGCGACTGGGACCGCGACGTTGCGCACGTTGGTACGTGGACCCTACCCCTCTTTTACCCAAGAGACTAACTAGTCTATTTTGGTCTTAGAAAAGGAGTACTACCATTTCTGCGACAAGGACCCAGTGTGCGCGTCCAAGATTGGCCCCAATTCGAAGCAATTCGCATTTGATTTGTACAAAAAGCTCGATGCGAACGACACGGCGTGTGCCCAAACGATTTATGCCGCCAAGGGGATTCCGTCCGACTTTGTGGGATCGACGCTTGCCGGCATGTTGACCAACTACAACCAGCGCAACTTGATTCCTGCGATTCTCTACCGCCTCGCCAAGTGTGTTGTTGACGTCGAGAGCGAAGCTACGTTCCTAACCGGTCTTCTCGGCCTTGCCTCGGAGGCTGACGACACGGAAGGGCGCGATGACATTGTCCCTGGCGACGCTGAGACGGGCGAGTCAGTTATCGATGACATTCTCTACAGCAACATTGTCTTCAACGAGATCTGGGAGTCGCCGTCTCCGTCGGTCGAGCGCCTCGAGAAGGACTCGTCCAAGCTCACGTGGCGCAGCAGCGACAAGATCTCGACGCTTCTCAAGGTCGGCAAGTACTGCCTCTACACCGGCGGCAAGGACGCCGTGTGCAAGCAGTTTGAAATCGCAGCGGGCTCCGAGTCGTTTGCATACGCCCATGACCAGTACTGGAACAAGACGGCGGCGGTTCCGGCTGGCGCGAGCGCCCTCTTGCTCTCGGGTGGAATTGACGTCCAGACGATCCCCAAGTATGCCGTGGCCCAGAATGCGTCCATGGCCGGTGACAAGAAGCTCCTTTTGCAGTTCCCGTTTGGCGGCCACAGCATCATTTCGACGACAAGCACGGACCCCAAGGTAGAGTGCCCCGCTTTTCAGATCGATGTACTTATGGTCTGTGGCTGTAGGACGCGACCAAGCACTGCGGCATGGACATCCTCAACATGTACCTCCAGTCGGGCGGCAACCTCAAGGCCATCAAGACCGACTGCATGGAAAACGTCCAGCCCCTTGATTTCACGCTCATCCACGACGAGGCCAAGGCCCTCGAGCTCTTTGGCAACACGACCGATCTCTTTGGCGATGAAGAGCGCCGTGTGCGGGCGGCCGTGCAGAGCGAAATCGCCAAGGCGGACGCCAAGCACAGCACCGAGACGATTGCGCTCACTGGCGGCTTGATCGCGTGCGTGCTTGCCGTCATGGGCATGGCTCTGTACGTCAAGAAGCAGCAACGTGCGCTGGCCAAGGACAGTACGGCGGCGGTCGAGTCAGAAGTCAAGGACGCCAAGGAAGATAACGCCAAGGAGGAATCCGCCTCGGACGACGCTACGGTCGCCCAGGTCTAAGTTGTTAATTGTATACATTTCCTTGTTCATGTGGATAAAGCAGCACAATTTTGTCATTCTCGCGTAATGAAACCTACAACAACAACATTTCATCTGCAATTTGTACGTACTTGAAGAAGGAAAGTGTGCGTTCAATAGTCTGTATCGTCCATTTAGACGCGTCCTACGCCTCCAAAACCAAAAGGATGCACAGTTCTAGTTCACTGTGCCGAATACAAAGGAGCTTGTGTCGTCAATTGAGTCACAATGCGCAGCGTGAGACACGTGGACCGAGAGCTGGACATTGTCATCTGGTCTACCTTAGCACATTGCCAGTAGAACTGAGCAATGTGTTTGTTTCGATCAGTGTCATGTCAATACCAAGCTAGACTGTAACGAGGAGGTCCGTCGCCTCGACGTTCCAGTTGGCGCATATTTGGTCGCGGCGTGTGCCGACATAGAATCATTGATTCTTGCACAGTACGTGGGTGCACAAAAATGTCAACTCGTGTCGGGGGTCGAGACAAACCGCCGTGGGTCGCGTGCAGGATTGTGATACCAGGACCCCCACCAATGAATACTACGATGCGCCGAAATCCAGTACTGTGGCACTGGCTGTCATAGTATGTCAGGTGCTCTGCCGCTGCTGCAAGTGTCAGCTCGACATTCTCGTCTCCTGCGACGTGTAGTACGAAGTCTCATTTTCCAACATGCTTCGTCCCAGTCACCTCGCATTGGCGCTTACGCTTTCCACCGCTGTCGCCGCCAGCGAATGGCACAAGTGTCCGCTCTTCTCGCATGTCGGCAATGAGACGTACGCGGTCGACAACTACCCGCGCTATAGCAACGCCACGGCCGAGTGCCTCGAACTCCAAGTGCCAGTTTGCTACCCAGGCGTCTGCACGAGCGACAAGACGCTCAGCGTCTTTATCAAGCGCATCCCCGCACTCCACCCGACGACGCCCAGCAAAGCCGTGTGGCTGATGCAAGGCGGCCCCGGCGCGCCGTCCGATGCCAGTACATCGACCGACGTCCATTGCTTGTATAGAAAATCTTATGCGTGGTGATGTGTAGTGGAAAGCTCGATGGTCGGGATATTCGCAGCCGCCAACGGCACGATGAGCCTCTACACGATGGACCATCGCGGCGTTGGCCGCAGCTCGCCGCTTTCAACCCACTGCCCCGAGCTGCGCGACGAGAGCGTCATGACTGAGGACACGGCCGTTGCTGCTGCCTATTCCAACTGTTTTCAAAAGCTCAAGGATCGCTATGGTACCTTGTCCTTCAAGCATCGACATGTCATTAACGGAATGCCATTAGGCGCGGACGCGCCCAAGGGCTTCTCGGTCACGAGCGCGGCGACCGACCTCGCGACGATCATTTCGAGTCCGCTGCTCGCTGCGGACGATGTTTACGTCTACGGCGTGAGCTACGGCACGTACTTGGTCGAACGACTCATGCACCTCGCACCCAAGAACGTCAAGGGCTACGTCCTCGATAGCATGCTGGCCGAGAGCCCGTTGAGCACGTACAGCGACTGGGACCGTGACGTGGCCACTGTCGGTACGATTGCCACATGTGAGGTCTAGGGTTGCGATCGTTTTTTCTAGAAAAAACCTACTATGGCCTCTGCGACCGCGACCCCGTCTGCTCGTCCAAGATTGGCCCCAATTCGAAGCAATTTGCTTTTGATTTGTACAAAAAGCTCGACGCCAATGACACGGCATGTGCCCAGACCATCTACGCGGCCAAGGGCCTCCCGTCCGACTTTCTCGGGAGCATGTTTTCCGGCATGATCACCAGCTACACCCAGCGCAACTTGATCCCGGCCATCCTCTACCGCCTCTCGCAGTGCGTCAAGGACATTGGCACGCAAGACCGCTTCCTCAACGGCCTGCTTGGCTCGCCCACGGACGAGACGAGCGACGACCGCGGGGACATTGTGCCGGGCGACACGCAGACGGGCGAGTCGGCAACCGACGACCTTCTCTACAACAACATTGTCTTCAACGAGATCTGGGAGCTGCCGTCGCCGTCATTCAAGCGCCTCCGCGACGACGCCACCAAGATCTCGTGGCGCGGGTCGCCTAGCGACGTCACCAAGGTCAACCTCTTCAAGTTTTGCGCGTTCCGTGGCCACTCGGACCCCGTCTGCCACGACCTGGGGCTTGACGAGCCAAAGCAAACGTTCGCGTACGCTCATGACCAATACTGGAACAAGACGGCAGCGATCCCGGCCGGCGCGAGCGCCCTCTTGCTCTCGGGCGGCATTGACATTCAGACGATCCCAGAGTACGCGGTGATTGAGAACACAACGATGGTCGGCGACAAGAAGCTCCTTTTGCAGTTCCCGTTTGGCGGCCACAGCATCATTTCGACGACGCCCACCGATACCAACGTACACCTACCACTCAATGTTATTTGTGGTATGACAATACGTACTGGAATAGCGTTCCGCGAACACCTGCGGCATGGACATCCTCAACATGTACCTCCAGTCGGGCGGCAACCTCAAGGCCATCAAGACCGACTGTATGGAAAACGTCCAGCCCCTTGATTTCACGCTCATCCACGACGAGGCCAAGGCCCTCGAGCTCTTTGGCAACACGACCGATCTCTTTGGCGATGAAGAGCGCCGTGTGCGGGCGGTCGTGCAGAGCGAAATCGCCAAGGCGGACGCCAAGCACAGCACCGAGACGATTGCGCTCACCGGCGGCTTGGTCGCGTGCGTGCTTGCCGTCATGGGCATGGCTGTGTACGTCAAGAAGCAGCAGCGCGCGCTGGCCAAGGACAATACGGCGGCGGTCGAGTCAGAAGTCAAGGACGCCAAGGAAGATAACGCCAAGGAGGAATCCGCCTCGGACGACGCTACGGTCGCCCAGGTCTAAGTTGTCCATTTCACCAGCTACTCATTTCATTGTCAATAAAGAAAATGCAAAATGTGATACACTGGAATCATTTCCAGCCATACATTTGCATTTGAGGCATGTACAAGGGGAAAATGTATCATCACCCATCAGCTCGCGCACAGACGCGTCTACGTCGACGGCGCAGTTAAAATAGCTACGGGCTGCACCTCGTGGAGCACCTTGTGCATCTCGCGCCCAGGAACGTCAAGGATTACATTCTCGGTGGCGTCATGAACGAAAGCCCCGTCTTGTGGTTCTTTGACTGACCGCCTGGTGACCGACGTGGGTATGTCACGCTGACACGAATGCAGGTTACCCTTAGGGTCCTCGTGGCCGTTACACAATTCTTCGTAAAAAGGGCGTACTATCGCATCTGTGATGCAATGCCACATTCGCACAATAAGTACTGTGCCGGTGCATTCCCGGGAGAGTACCGACGCGTCACGCTCTCGAACTTGTGTTTACATTAGTCTTCACAATTGCTATAATTTACTGGTCGAAATGTAAATGGACCTCACGTCGCGCTCGCTCCGTTGCGCGCAATCGTGTCGATCAAGACGGCGATATCGTTGTGCATTTCAATCTCATAGTACGTTTGATACGTGGCTTCGCACGCGGCGCGCCATTCGGTGCGCGGCACATTGTTGGCTACGAGCACCTGAACCACGGGCTCAACGACTTCCAGTGGCGCGAACGCGCCGTGGACTCGGTACCCCGAGTAGTCGTAGCCTTTTTGCAGCAGCGTCGCGCCGTCGCTCAACGTCGTGCCCATGGTCCAGCTCGTCCAGCTACGCGTGTACCCTTGTAGCGGCTGCCTGGGGTCGTCCTCGATTCCTTGGACAAGCAGGAGGAACTTGCCAGGCTCTTGAATCGTTCGAATGAGCAGGTTGTGTGTGTCATTCGTGCCGCGACAGTAGACAATGTCGTCGCCAAGACGTTCCATCACCTACATCCCATGTCTAGAGACTCGTAGAAAGCGTAGTGACTTCGAACCTCGGTGGCCGCTGTGTTCTCGCATGCAGTCTGCACGGCGTGCAGCGGCGACGGCACCACGTATTGCTGGTGCACGGCAGTACAGTACGTGTTTTCAAGCTCTGAGACGCAGACGCGCACGAATGGCAAGCTCGCACCGTCACGTGGAAACGGCGCCTGCGCGTAGAGCTGTGGAAATCGCTGGTGGAGCTGGTCCATGATCCAGACAGCGCTAGTCGCGCGGCTCACGGGTTCGTCCAACAGGCCCGCCAAAGGGTGGCTCGGCGACGATGGCTATCCACATGAAAAGCGTCAGTACACAGCTAGATAGCAGAGCCATCTCATGATCCTACCGGCGCTGTCACGCGCTGCACCCACGCAGCGAGCAAGGACGCGCGGGTTTCGGCCTCGGCGACTTGCTGCTGTAGAGCCCGTTGGACCTCTTGGCTTGCCAAAGCCTCTTCCTCGAGCGCAAGGGCAATGTCTTTCCACGCAACGTGCGACGTAGGACACGCTTTCTGTGTCTGTTGACATTGCAGTTGAGCCAGGCGCTGCTCCAGGAGCGGGATTTCGTCGTCGAGCGCGCTTGCTTCGAGCGCTATGAGGTACCGGTACCGACGCTGGGCCTCGCGGTGTCGCTGGCGCTTCTCCTGCACGGGACGCAGCGTCGGATCCGCGTTGACTTGGAGGTCGTACATGCCTTGGCGAAACGACAACGGTGGTGTCCACATGGCTGTAGTCAAACGCGAAATGAAAAATGACCCACCGCGCTGACAGCTCCGTCTTGAAGAAGTAGCTAACAAATCAAAGAAAGGCCACACAGCCGTGATGCCGTGCCATGGTCAGCGCTGATTGGAGGCTCAACGTCCACCCACCCACCCACCGTCTCGTTCTGAGCAAAACGACATGTGTTTTGACGCGCTCTTTGGAGTCCTGATGCCAAGTCATACGCGTCACGATCATATGGCGACCACAGGCATTTCTGTGCCATCCATAAGAGATGTGAAGAAAGCCAATCGCGATTACCCATCCACAGGAAATCCTCTGTAGTACAATTGTACTGGTCGATGCGCTGCAACAATATCCAGTGGTGCCTCCCAACGATCGATGATGGATGGTATGCAAGCCTGCCGGTAATGTGAAGATTTTTGTTTTGCGGTCGGCAGCATTTTCGTGAGGCTTGATTGGCTGCACCTACCGCGATCAGTCGTGTGATTGGCCGAGCCGTGATAGTCAGTATCTTTGACGAGAATCGATCGTTCGAGGATTGATAAGCACAACCACAAGAATAGTCTTCTTATCCACAGCGCTAGCGCAACCACCTCGCACGAGACATCATCTCTCGTGACGCGGGTAGCGTGCTTATGCAGTTTGAGGCAAATAGTTTGGAGGGACCGTGAATCAGAGATCGCGACTTGTTTTTGTGTACGCCTCAAAAATCTCTCGAGTGTGCCAGGTGTCTTGCGAGTGCGTATACCACCGTGGGTACCTGCGAAATTACGTCGAGTAACCCAAAAGTCGGGTTGCGAGTGGTCGATCCATGCGCTGGGTCCACGCCGAGAGATAGTTGTCACCCGACTGTCAGTCTGGGGTAGAGTCTCTCATGGACCGTCAAGCTGTCGTCTGATTCTGCTCTCTAGCTCTTGTGAAAATGGCACGCGCTCGAGGGGAAGATATGATTGCTCCAGATATATATTTCCACTCAAGTAGACGATTTTCAAAAAACAGCCACAAAATACTACTACGTAATTTAAGGTGGAATGAGCCAGTCCATTCTCGCAAGGGTACATGGAAAAAATCATGCACCCTTGATTCTCGGAAGCATCGCATGCGCTGGTTATAAATGGCGCGCGGCGTAAACTTGAAGCGTGCGTATGACTCCGGACTCATTCCACCGGAATTCCATCCGCGCCATTTTGAATTCGGTTCTGCCGTCGGGGGCCGCATAGCCCGTGAAATCTCATTGTGTTGGCATATGGTAGGGCGGACACATATCTTCAACATCAATGCCTTTTGATGTTCTCGCCCAGCATATTTGGTTTCACATGGCTTGTTCGCGCAGATGAAGAGGGCGCGAGTCCTGCATTTACCGCTGCACCTCGGGTGGATCGGAAACGAAATTGCGAGGCTCAACCGAAAAGTCACTGGTTTCATGGACTGGCGGTCAGTCAATGAATGAGCCCGTTTCGGCGCCTTGCAGGCGAGCAACTCCCAGAGCCAAATTGCATAGTTGAAGAAAAGTACGTTTAAGCCAAATGCATGTCGGCTAAATCAATAATGTTTCAACAGACACGACACACTACTTCACGATCAACTCGGTCGGCGACGAGCGTAGTACTGACGACGTTGGGTCGCCGCTTGGTGGGTCTGTTCAACAGAAGCGTAGCTGCCCCACCACCAGACTGCACCCAATGACGGCGTTCATGGTTGCGGCACCACTCCCGACAGCCAGCAACCTCACTATTCGGATACGCCTCGTCGAGGTACGTTTGGTAGAGAAGACGATAGCATTCAAAAAGATCGTCTCGGGACGCCGATGCCAGAAGCGACCGCACTGCTTGTTGGTACCATGGCGTCTCCAGCGGCAGACAATCGCCGTCGCCCGCGTACCAACTCGTCTCGACTCGTAGACCTCTTGAATCAAATTTGCATTCTCGCTTCTCCGCGTCAAGACGATCCTACACATGTCGTTGCGTCATTCAAGATGACATTCGTTTCGTCGTGCTATCAGTCCATCCACGTTCGCTTCAGTGGACCTGGGGGCGCGAGAGCACCAAGATGCGTCCGTGCTCTGGAGTACACTGGATTGCAATGTGATTTGTGTCGTGCTGCCAACCTGAAAACGGACATAGCGCAGGTTGACGGCTTCGAGCCTCTGCACCCACATCTTTTTCAATCATATGCAGCGC